AAAAAAAAAAAAGTGGCCGGCGTGGAAAAGGAGAAAAAGAAAGAAAATTGTGCAAGGGAAGGCTGTCGGCGGGGAAGAAGAAAGGAGAAGGAAGAAAAGAAAATAGAAGGGAAGGCTGTGGGCGCGGAGAGAGGGGAGAAGAGAAAGAAAGAGGAAGAAGAAAGGAACGCCGGCAGGAAAAAAGAGAGACTGCGGCGAGGGGAAGAAGAAGAAAGAAGAAGAAAGAAAGAATAAAAGACAAAAAGAGAAGGTAGAGAGAAGGGAGAGAACACACAACTAGAGAGAGAAAAAAAATTTAATTTCACTCTTTTATTACTATTACCACCTTCACCCTTATTAACCCGCCATCTAATATTCTATTCCAAAATTTGTCTCTTCCAAACATGAGAATCATGTAATTTAGGTTGGCTATGCAATGGAGACTGACCAATACAATACTTGGAGTGCATAAACTTTGTCCAGAGGTTGTTACATGTCCACCATTGTTTAATAGTAAAGGCATCAAAAACATCCCTTAAGATTCAGATTTCTTATCCCCCTTGGAGCCAGGTATTGCAATTTTAGACCATGATGACCAGTGAATCCGTTTACTCTTTGTGGAACCACCCCATAGAAAATTATTAAACAACCTCTCAATTCTCTCAATAACGCATGCTCGAGGCTTGAGTACTTGAAAGAACACTTCGTAACAAGGTAATGCGGTCACTCAAGGATAAAATTTTGTTTTGCTGACCTGAAATTTTGTCTCTTATTTTATCCACTAGAGAAGCAAATAATTACCCTTTTCGGACCTATATACAATGGGGCTCCCAAGTATGTAATTGGAAGGGTTTTGTGAACAAAACCAGTAACATTCGCAATGATTTGGGTGATAAAACAACTCGTATGCTGGTTAATTCGTGGCCCTGAAACATGGTCATATTCTTGCAAGAATCAAAGAATTTTCTGCAAAGCTGCAAGATTACCAATAGCAAAAATCAACACATCATCTGCGAAAGCTAAATGGCTTATCGTGACCTGGCTACTAGTATGATAATTTAAGGATTGATACTGATCATATACAGAATTTAAACCCCTCGATAAGTACTCCGCAACTAAGATGAATAAAAGTGGAGGAATAAAATCACCCTGCCTTAACCCTCTTTCAGACTTAAAATATCCCATTAAAGTACCATTTATCAAAAGAGAGAACCAAGAATTAAATATGCATTGTTGAATCGTGTTAATCCAATGGTTATTAAAACCAAATTGCCTTATCATGAGATATGATTGTCAATAGATTAGTCATGTATCCTGTTTTAGTAAAAGCTTGTTGTAATCTTCCTACTTTCAATTAGAGTAGAAACACAGCGTGACTTATGCTCGTGGCCGTAAGCTTAATATCGAAGCACCTAAATCTATATTAATTCTTGCATATTAACTTAAAACAGCTGATATATTACGCATACAGCTCCCTAAAGCCTGCCTTTTCGTCCTTGTGCATTTCGCATATACAAAGGTAGCATAACATGAATTCTGCAGCCACGGAAACATTAAACATACATGCAGGCATTGAACATGGTCAACCAATATTTCACAAGAATAACCATAGTTTGCAAGAACAATTACTAGCTGCACCTTCAAAACCCAGCCTCCATCTAAAATATTCAATTCTAGTCACATCTACCAGTGGCTCCAACACAGGTAGAATTTTTAGATTGTGCATCAGTTTCAAACTTTTAAAGTCGCCTTTGGCTTACTTTATTTGAAATACCCGTAGCATTCCATACCAAGGAATTTATCATGGATAAGTATAAGCAGGAGAGTTTGAAGCGATAGCACCAGATTCATCTGTGCTATCTCCCACCTCTATTTCTTCAATATCATCAGAGGCATTATTTTCTGTGGAAGCATAGGAGAGATCCTCCCCAGACTTGCGACGTCTAGTTACTGATGGATGTATTTCAATTTGTGGACCACCAAGCCTTGCATGGGATCCATTACTTGATTGAATATTCTTACGTACAACACAAGCTGCCACCCCAATTCCCTTAGCCGTTACATTTGCTCTTCTTGAATGCAAATCAGAAGAAAGTTGCTGGTCAGTGTATCTCTCCTTTTCAGTGCTCTGATGTGTTCCGACACAAGCTACTACCAACTTATTTTGCTGCGCTTCCATTACCAATTTTTCACTTGGTAAAAAAGAAGTGATCCCTTGTACTGCCTGTATGTGCTCCTCCGTACCCGAAGCCTGCACCTCACCAGATGTGGGCCTCCTGTATGTGATAGACAGTTTCCTTTCTAATCTTTTTGTTTTTACCACGCTTGGTGATATTCATGGATTTTTCTGTAGCCCACAGAATCATGGCTGCTTCAACGTTTTCTGCCATAGCACTAGAATAAGTGTCCCCACTATCATCACTTGAAGGCTCGGTAACGTCATTGCGTAGATCATATGACTGTTTTTCTCTTCCATTGACAGCATCACGAGCAAATTCTATAGCTTCATTATTCGGAGATGGCAAGCCATCCATTCTATTTTGACCACTGCCAGTAGCCTCCAAACAATACTGGGATCCATCTTTCCCATCAGTTGCCATATGAGTTTTGTTTTTAACAGCCACGTCTTTTTTCTTGTCACCATTTGGCAGCTTAGGTTTCGGTGCTTTAGCCACGTTCTCATCTTGCACCTTACGTGTGCCCACAAGGAGATTTTCCCATAGCATATTGATTGATTACCACCATGTCAGCTGATTTTCACAACAAATTGCATCCTCCATCTTCTCATTTTCTTCGATTGCTGTAAATATGTTGGATGTTTGAAGGCCAGTAAAAGCTCCTCGGTTATCAACATGAACTCCCTTTCCTTGGCTTCGTTTTTTGTGAATAGAGTTGTCCCCCAATCTAAACTTGCAGGAGGATTAATTGCTTTTCCCTTACCATCACCATCATCATGCTTTGTTTTGGCATCTATTTCTGCCCCTTGCGAATGTTTGGCACCAATTTTTTCACCTTTTTCCACTGCTGTTTTATTTTTGCTTCTCCTACGCCAGTTGTGTGAGATCAAATTGTTGTGGCATCTTATCGAGTTTTCCTTCCACAGTCCTCTCTTTCCCTCCCAATTCTTTCTGGTTTATTGCCCAGTGCTAAACCGGTTAAGTTTTGGTGGCCAACAAGTGAGCAATGAGTGCAATAATCAGCAAGTTTTGCAAATTCCTCTTTCCCTCCAGTATTCTCACCTCTTTGTCGATCTCGAATACCAATCCATATACAATCCACAGCCGGTTGTAAACAGTCATACTCTATGCAAACTCTTGCAGTGCTTGGACGCGTCCCATTGTCAGTAGATTCATCAAGATACAATGGATTCCCAATTGATTTAGCTATTGCTAGCGGTGCCGATTTATCAAAGAGATAAGCTTTGAGATTTGGAAAAGACACCCACACAGGAACAGTCTGCGCTCCACTTTAACACACGCATTTTCTGCTTTGCAATAACGTATAAATCATTAGCTTATTAGTTTCTAATGATTTAAGAATTTTAATCCTAACTTATTTATAAGGAAATTATCGAAAAAAAATTTAAAAGCCATTAAATACTAACCTCTTACAAAGAAAATAAAACCTATTTTTTAAAAATATTAAAAACATAAACAATGAAGTAACAAAATTAAAAATTTACACTTAATTTAAACTTAAAATAATTTAAGCTCAAAACGATTCAAATTTGAATCATTTTAAATTTGAACAACATGAAAGATCAAATTTTTCTAAAATCGATTGTTATTTTAAAAGTCAACAATTTAAATTTAAATAATTTTAAAAAATGTCACACTCTGAAAATTGAAATCCAAAAGATTTGAATCTAATAAATAGCCTAAATTTTCTTTAACCTCTAAAGTGACTCAACACAACTTAATCCGATTGTCACCTCCAAATTTAATTAAGAGGCACAAAGCACTCTATCTACCCTCAAATTTTTTGAGCGAAAAACAAATTTTAAGAAAAGGTAGTTTCATGGTGATTGCTCAGATTACAACTATTAGCAAATATAAATGAATAATAATACAAAACATTTATTGAAATAAATTAAGAAAAGAGGTAAAATAAATGGGCAAGCATTTATATTTTTGGCTAGATTAAGTTATAAAATCTGGCAACCCAAGGTGCAAGTTGAGTGTTATGAGGGGCTCTTGGATTTGCAGCATAATAATCAGACCAGTAGCAAGGCGAAATTCTGCCAGAAAATTCCCCATCTGAATAAATACAAAATGGCAACCAAGTCTCACCCCCATTCATTCTTCTCCTCCTCTCTCTAGGGTATGCCAGTGGTGCCTGTACATATCTGCACGAGTTTCCCATAGTTATCCTCTGAGCTGAACTACAGAAAAAATCCATGTTTAAAGCTTTGGTAACATTTTAGGGTCTCTTTGCTCATCTTTTCCAAGTTGCAGCTAAAGCCTTTGACATTTGGTCAAAAAGAGTTGCCTCATCTAGCACAAAAATAGCCAACTTTCTAAATGTCTAGCATTCAATTTCCTAATCAGTACCCAATCAAGAAATTCCACAAAACATACTGTGTATACCATAGGCTTCTCATATATTTGGCACCTAGTAAATATATCAAAGCACAAGCTAATCAGCATTTGCTATTCACACTTCTGAAACCCTTCTATTAAAGAGCTTAATATCAACTACAATGTAAATCATAAAGAATAGCACAGTAAAAGAGAAAAAGAGAATGTCTGTTTCAAGGAGGTATACTTTGGTTTAAAAGGACGAAGGGGATGTATGGTTCCACGTACAGTTTTTCGTAATCCAAGAGATTCACCAACTAGAAGAAAGATAAATGAAAAAAATGGCAATGACCAATAACCATAAGAACTAACGTTAGAACTGTCGTAACCTGCCAAGTCTGGGAACCCGATTGCTAGACGTGATATATTTGGAAAGTCGCTATCAATCTTTTTTATCTAGGTGTGATTGGTCACTTAATACATTTGTTCTGTTCGATGAAATCCTAAATTGGTTTTAGGTTCGTCGAAAAAATTATAAACTGGTCTACATATTTTATTTAGAGTTAGGTTCGGGTGTACGGTTACGCACAGGGAAGGATTAGCACACTCCTATGAGGCTCGTTCCACGAACAGTACCATTTAATCATATATTTTCCTAACCCATTAGTTTTATTTTTGTGTTTCCTTAATTTGATTCATTTGATTTATCTTTTATTCTATTAACAAATTAAAGACATTTTATTTGGTTTTTTCTTATATTTGACGTACACGTAATGCAATTGTAACATGCATGGCATAAAATCGAGGTAATGTCAAATGAAAACTTTTAATTGAATGTACTTTTCGAATCTGCCCATCATGCTGGTGGGATTCGAAAGTATCCTCTCACCTAGGGAAAGTGCCCGATAAATTCACCTTCGTAAATTTAACGAGTAGATCCCATTTCAAGTAAAAACAACATTTTTTGAATGTAAATCCTAGTACGAGCAAAAGCTTTTTATTAAAGATATTTCTCCGAACCCTCCCATTGTACTAGTGGGATGCAAAGGTATCTTTTCACTTAGAGAGTTTACCAAAGAAACTTACCTTCGCGAGCTTCCTCGAAAAGTCCCATAATCGGGGTTTATGCTCGTATTTAGAATATTTCTACATACCATGACATTTACTAATGCAATCATGGTATGTGATGCATTATAAATTCAATGTCCGTTTCTTATCTTTCACAAAATGTACTATTTTTTTCTTTGTGTGCATATTTATCATGATCAAATATTTTACATTTATTTATTGTTCTATTTTATTTCATTAAGTATTTTGTTGTGTAATTACTTATTCATTTATCTCTATGAAATTTTCCAAAACCATTTTTTTTAGACCAAGTATTTTTTATCTTATCTGTAATTATTATTGCATATGTATTTTATCCATTTTTTTGTAATATTTTAATTAACAAATTTATTGTTATCATTAATTTTTTATTCCTTTTGTTCGTGTATTTTGATTAATTAGTATTATGCATGTATAGTTTTTATTTAAAATTAAGAATATCAAAATTCCATATTAAGACCCTCCCATCATATTGGTGGAGTCTTAATCGAAATTCCTAACCTAAAGAAATTCACTTGAAATTGCGACTTCTCGCATTCCAAATGGACATCCCATCGTTAGTAACTCAAGTAACATTTTCATTAAGTTCTAACCATCATATTGATATTTAAATTTTCTATTAAATAATTAACTATGTGTGTGTATGTATATATATATATATATAAAGAAATTTACTAACATGCTAAAAAATAAATAGATAAATAAATTACCATTAGAATGCAATACATAAATAACAGCCCAAAAGAAATAATTTTAAACAAAGCCCATACTTGGCTTGTACTTAGATTGGGCCAATGGATTTTGATTTTGAAGTGGAGGAGTCCACTTGCCGCATGCTGACTCGTTTTTCTTTTTCTCTTCTCTTTGGGACCTTTCCTTCCTTGTTGCTATTAGACCTTTCTCATGAGCTCTTTCCACTTCTCCTTATTGGGCTAAGCTTACTCTTTTTTTACTTCTTTTTTCTCTTTTTTTGTTTTTGGTTTCCTAACAGCCACACGTTTTCTCCTTCATTTCTTTTTGTTTTTTTATTTTTTCTTCTCTTTCTTTCTCTAGCCGCAACCCTCCTTCACTTCTCTTTACATTTTTTTTCTTCTTTTGCTTTTTTTTCTTTCTAGGCCCATAACTCTTCTTTTTCCTTCCTTATATCAGCGCCTCTCCCTTTCCTCTCACTATCGACAAACAGCCCAAGAGCCCCAAACTCCAACCGATGGTACCTCCCTAAAAACTCTAAACTCTAACTGATGACACCTTTTTCTCCCTCTCTCTTTTACTCTATCGGTGCACCCGAATCCTCCTTTTGGTCTCAAGTCGCCCTTTGCAGGTTTTCAACATGACCCATCTCCTTTGGATTCGAATTGTCCTTTTCAGATTTTCAACCCGAATCCTTTCAATTTTTTTTCTTTCTTTTTTTATTTTTTCAAGCATAGTACTTCTTTACCACATCTGCGTTTATCGGATTGGGCAAGTCTCTTCCATCCATGTTAGTTAAAATTAAGGCTTCTCCTGAAAAAGCCTTTTTCACCACATATGGCCCTTCCTAGTTCGACGCCCATTTTCCTCAAGAATCCTTCTGGTTAAGGAGTATTCTTTTGAGGATCTGCTCCCTTTCTCGAAAATGCCTAGGATGAACTTTTTTCTCATATGCTCGCATCATCCTTCGTTGGTACATTTGGCCATGGCAAAGGGTTGCGAGCTTTTTTTCCTCAATCAAATTCAACTGTTCATAACGAGAGCGGACTCACTCAGCATCTTCCAATTTTGTCTCCATTAACACTCAAGGATGGGATTTCCACTTCAATGGGTAGCACTGCCTCCATTCCATATACTAATGAATACAGATTTACCCCCGTGGAGATTCGCACAAAAGTTCGATATGCATGTAAGGCAAAAGGGAGTTTCTCATGCCAATCTTTATAAACTTCAATCATCTTTTCAATGATCCTCTTGATATTTTTATTGGCTGCCTCTACCTCTCCATTCACTTTTGGATGGTAGGTTGTCGAGTTATGATGCTTGATTTTGAACATAGCGTAAACTTCTTTTACCATCGCACCATTCAGATTACTTACATTGTCGGTAATGATTCTTTCTGAAAGTCCATATCGACATATTATTTTTTTTTATGAACTTGCACACAACCTTCTGTGTTATATTGGCATAAGAAGCTACCTCTACCCATTTTGTGAAATAATCAATGGCCACCAATATCAACTGATGTCCGTTAGAAGCCTTTGACGTAATTAGCCCAATCAAATCCATTCCCCACATCAAAAACGACTAAGGGACTGTGAAAACGTGCAATGGGATTGGTGGAGCATGGATTCTATTTGCATAAATTTGACACTTGTGGCATTTTTTAGTAAAGTTTATGCAATCTGATTCTAATGTTAACCAGTAGTACGCAACTCTCATAATTTGTCTAGACAACATATATCCATTAGCATGAGCTCCACAAGTTCCCTCTTGGACTTCTTCTATTATTTTGTTGACCTCGGTAGCATTCACACATCTTAGAAGTACTTGATCTTTACTTCTTTTGTAGAATATCTCTCCACTGAGGAAGAAGCCCATTCTTAATCTTCTAAGAATTTGTCTCAGCTTTTGCTTAATTGGTTTGCATTCCAGTTTCAATGGTAATTTGTGTACAACAATGTTGGTGTTAAGACCCGACATGTCCTAGTATGACCATGCGAACACATCAACATATTCATGGAGTAGCTCCTTCAACTTTAATCGTTTATCACGTGACAGTGAAGTGTCGACTTTAACTTCCTTTTTATCCTCTTCATCTCCTAAATTAACTAGTTCTGTGATTTTCTGGTGAGGTAAAATCATTTTTTCCTCCTGTTCTAACGACCTTGATAATTTTGAGGGTAAATCATAGTCATCCAACTCTTCTTCATTTCTCAATTCATCAATACTGGGTATTTTTTCAAGATCAAAATTCTGATTGCTCTCTAAATTTTCTTCATGTTCATTATTTGGAGACTTGCAAATAAGCGAAATTGGATATATATAGGCAATCATTTATTGGCTAAAGGAAAAATTATGGAAGTTGTATGTGCAAGAGAGGATGGTAATAAATGAGATGAT